AAAGATCGATAGAAATAGCTGAGAGACGTGCGAAACAAAGGACCCGCATGGTGTGGTGGTGAACGCGTTACTCCCCGGAAAGGATAATAGCGCGTTCGTTCCCCACCATAGACACCTGCGGTCCAGAGTTTTGCAAATATCTCAGCAACGTTGTGGTTGTATTTCGCTTAGTAACCTGCCATGAAAATTATAGAAGGCAGAAAACAAAACGTTAAAACATTAACAGTACAATTAAAAAGTATCATAATGTCCCGTCAGATGGAATCCCGCATTTTCAATTACATTCTTGTTCAGAACGTGATCCTTGGCCCAAAATTAAGAAGAAGGTATGTTTCAGGGGCTTTATGAAAACTTCATCTTATCAAAACAAGACAGCTTCATTTTTTTTAGACAAAGATCTATAGATTCTAGTGTATTTATTTCAATTATAAAGGATTAATAGGAACTAGAATATCTTAGTTAGAACTCAAATCTGCCATTATTTTTTGCTCAACATGCGCTGTACCCTATCCTTGTCAGGCTTTTAATTAATTGAATAACAGTTCCAATGGAACATCGTAAAGTTGTTTGGTATCCGTATTCTATATCGAGGTTTTAAATTATTTTTCTAAGTTGTGTAACTGGTCATGTCTTCAGTCTATATGACGCCTTTAGGTTTATTTCTTCTTTTTCACTACTTCACTATAAACTAGTTCCCAGGATCGACTTCCTATTAACCTCGGTATTAGATTATAAATGTGTCGTTTTCTTTCCCAGCACTAGCGAAATTGTTGCACCGCACACGTTTAGTTTCTTACAAAATACATACAACACAGCAAGAGCTGACGTTTCGGCGATTTTTCTTCTTCATAGCTTGGGATGATATATTTACACGAATTTATGAGGCCAAGCGCTTCAATAACACAAACAGGAAGATGAGAATCTGATTCGTAATTGCAGACTCAACAGCTCGAAAAATCCACCGTTTTTTGTGTGCCTTAGGAAGAACTGAAGAACAGCCGCTTTGAGTCGTACAGAGTTGATTGGGTATGATCACACGTAATCTAGAACCCTATTTTAGAATCAACTTTTTTATGTGGACTGGTGCATCCATGAAACATATACGACTATAAACGGCTGTTCTTCCTTAGTGAAAGGCACGCGGAAAACGATGGGGTTTTCGGGAAGCTGTTGATCATGCGATTATGATTCTGATTTTCATCTTTTTGTTTGTGTTGTTTAAGCGTTTGACCCAATAATTTGCGTATCAATACACCCTTGAAGAGTGTGACGAAGGGCTTTTGTGCGAAACCAAACGTGCGCTGTATAAGGACTTCGTGATTTCTGAGAACGAAACGACACTGTATAAGCTAGGTTCTGTTTTTATGGTAAGAGTTGTTTTACCACACTTTTATACTTTTTTTATTATTAATTTCAGTCGAAAAGTATTTGACAGCCTTAGCGAAGAAGACCACGACAGAAGGAAAGTTGAAATTGAGAAGCGTCTATCAGTGAACCGTCACTATCCTGGTATGCATTTTGTTTAGTGTTGCTGTAATGCTTCCTCCTATCAGTTTGAGGTCCTCAACTTTTACTATTCCGCTAAAGCAGTCTTTAATTTGTTCACTATTTTGTTTACTACTAATTTAAAATTCGTCTGTACTCTTTGTCTAAAGTCACGATATGTGTATTTTTTCCGCTTGGAACTAATCACCTTTTGTTGTTTTTCAATGTCTCCAATCTGTAAACACGCGGGTGCAGACGCTCTCTATTTTTTATGTCTTCTTATAATTGTATAATTTTTTAAGGAAGAAGTTTCATAAATCTTCGAGAAAAGATTTGCACAGTGTTTATTCCTCCTATGAGCTCCTAATTTCGGCGAAGTAAGGTGTTAACAAAAAGTAGCTAGGACCAATTTCTACATCTGCAGTTTGCTACAGAAGTTGTAGCGGGGCTTGGCCTTTGGCACAGAGTACTAATATATGATTAAAAAGACCGACCTTTATAAACCTCGGCACTGGTATTTAACACATGTAATTATTAGAAACTGCCCATTTTGAACTGATGCGAAGTTGGTACCAGTTGTTCCCCCTATTGTGATTCTGTGGCTAACGCGTCAGCCAATTCGCGTTCTTCAGAGCCTGGTCGGTTCATATTTTATGTAACGCTATTCACATAATTCGGTAAACTATCTATAGTAGTAATGAAGACCTATTATATAAATGGCCGCAACTTTGTCTAAAAACCACTCACCGTTTTGTTGGGTGTGAGATTACCAGTGCGTTGTTCAGATGGCGAGTGAAACTCACCCGGATCAAAAAATCAGTAGTTAGTTAGGCGATAGTTCTGACACAGTGCCATGAAATTTCCTGCTATTTGTCGCATAGTGAAGAGGGTGACCCGTATTTCTAACTTGTTCTTAGTCATTTGAGAATGTGCTACTGATGATAATGACATGTGCTGGGTTTGATGGTGTTACATTTTTTTTGCTCTGTGGTGTTCAGTAAAGTACACAATTGGCAGGAAAATTGGAAATGGAGGTATTATCCCACAGTTGAAAAATATATAAATAAACAATAGGATTTATTAGAACACAATTGCTGACGTTTTGGCGGTTTCGCCTTCTATCGAGTTATCGACCATGTATTACTCTGTGCGGCGGCTATCCACCAACTAACTTAAATACTTACAACAAATAAACGGCTCTGAAGAAGGCGAAACCGCCGAAACGTCAGCAATTGTGTTCTAATAAATTCTATATTAACAACCTCGTGTCTGCTTATTGATGAAAAACATTGAAT